GCTGCTGATCAAAAAGCCTTCTCAACACCAGCCCCTTCAGAGGGGTGGGGCACATGCACTGAGGCACCTCAATTGCAAATACATTATGGAATAAAAGAATCATAGAATTCTTTAGGTTGGAAAAAGATCTTTAAGGCCATTGAGTCCAACCATTAACCCAGCACTGCCAACCCCACCAGCAAACCATGTCCCCAAGCACCACATCTACACGGTTTTTGAACACTTCCAGGGATGGTGAGGCCACCACTTCCCTGGGAGGTCTGGTCCAGTGTCTGACCACCCTTTCAGTGAAGAAATTTTCCCCAGTATCCAACCTAAACCTCCCCTGGCACAACTTGAGGCCGTTTCCTCTTGTCCTGTCACCTGTTACTCGTGAGAAGAGACCGACCTCCACCTGGCTACAGCCTCCTTTGAGGGAGTTGTAGAGAGTGATTAGGCCTCCCCTGAGCCTCCTTTTCTCCAGGTAATTCTGATTTTTTGTACGAAGGCACATTTGGACAGCAGAGGACCTGAGCAGGTTGAGGGCTCTCAGTGAACAAACCCCCATAAAAAATGCCCTCAACTGCTTGTTTCCTTTTAAATGAGCATTGTAGCAAATAAACAGTGGGTTTGGCTCATTTTTGAGTTTTTTACAGTAGTGGTGATGTCTTCTCATTATCTGTTGCTATCTGCTCATCCCTCTCCTCGTTTTATTCAGTTTTTGTTCCAGTTTCAAAAGCAATATAGAACAAAAAGTGTCCATGAGGGACGGGAAAGGAGAGTGGAAATAAATTCAAAGCCCTAGAGTTAAAAAAGGAGTTTGGCAAGCCCAAAACTCAGAAGCATCTCACCTCAGTGAGTGGGATTTCAGAGGCTGGTTATGCCCACCCCCACCTCCTTAAGTCGATTAATCTTACAATTGAAGTTTAAAAACTGTCAGTGCTAATTTATGCTGTTCCACGTGTGCACGATGGACAATTTGCTTCTGGAGAAACTGTGAGAAATAAATCCCCATTACAAATGTCATCTTCCATGTGTTAAAAGAAAGCTGGGACGCTCTGGTCAAGGGACAGCAAGTAATGCACTTTATTAATGGAAGGTGCCCAAAATATTCTCATCCATCTTCTTCACATGGTAGTGACGAATGTCATGAAATAATGAGAATTTTCTGAAGCCGTGAATGCCATAAAAATTCAGTGTCAAATGACAACAGGACTACGATAGGCATTTTAAGGTTCCTAAATGCCACGAGATATTTTATCCTTTATTTTCCATGAGATGGGATATTAGTCATTTGGAGAGCATATTTTCTGCTAGGCAGGAAAATGACATTAACTCTTTGCTTTCCAGTATTTCACCCTTTTCCTGCTATAAATACACAAAAAGGTTTTCTCTTGCTCACAGCTTGATAGAAGCTTTCATGTTCCTGCAAAGGGATCAAAGAGGACGACACAAACATTAACCAGATGATTGAGTTCCTTGAAAGCTACTCAGTGGTACTGACTGCTACAAAGGAAGAACTGCTCCACAAACTTTGATGGCATTAATTTTGCAACAAATCCCATAAAACGAGAGGCAATCTTCCCCTGCCTTTATGTCAGACCATCCCTGCTTCCCACTTTCGTGTGTGGCTGTGCAAAGTGGATGGCTCAGAGAAAATCAAAGCTGCTCTCTCTGCTTTGGGAAGGGCATCAGTTGCTCTGTTTACAGGAGGAGATGGAGCACTTTTGCTCTCCAGAGCTGGGATTCATCCAGATTGGAAGATGTTCCCATCTGTCATAGCCACTCCCCAATCATTCCACTGTAAATGGAGAAAAATATATGGTTTATCGATGTTATCCAACTCATTCTGAACTCAAAGTCTAAAAACTATCTGAACTGCACCTCTCAGAAGTCCTCTTCTCATCTCTGACTGTAAAAACAGCTCAGAGATAGGTTTACCTATGGAGAACTCCAAAACCAGTCGATACAAATGCCATTCCAGGTTGGAAACTGGTTTCCTAAATACAGGTAATCTTACCACCAGCTGAGGAATCTTTCTGGATCCTCCAGTGCATCTCAAATAGTACCAGATGCTCATGGTTAGGAACTTGAATGGAGCCCTCAGTGTTTCTGGTGGAGGTGCCCATCTGTGAGCTCAGTACCTGCATTTCTACTACACTCAGCACAAAATTCATCAGCAGAGCACACGACACCTAAAGAGCTGGTCAGGTACCTACACACACCCTCTGTTCCCTGTACTGGCCAGATTATTGTTGGCATTAATGGAGTTCTTGGCACCTATCCTGTAGAGACACCCCTGCTTTAGAAACAGTAGGAATTAAGATGCTGAATGCACTTTCACCAACAAAGAAAGTCACCCTGTGCTTCACCACACTGAGCAGAAATAGGGATTTCCATAGTGCTGTTCATCTGATCTCTGTAAGTGGGTAATTTACTTTCAGATCAATCACTAACCAAACCAGAGAATCATGGAATCATACAACGGTTTGGGTTGGAAGGGACCTTAAAAATCAACTTGTTTCAACCCCCTGCCATGGGCAGGGCCACCTTCCACCATCCCAGGTTGCTCCAAGTCCTGTCCAACCTCGCCTTGGACAATTCCAGGGATGGGGCAGCCACAGCTTCTCTGGGTAACCTGTGCCAGGGCCTCACCACCCTCACAGGGAACAATTTCTTTCTAGTATCTAATCTAAACCCGCCTTCTATCAGTTTAAAGCCATTCCTCCTTGTTCCATCACACTGTGACCTTGTAAAAACCATCCAGTGACTGGAATCCCTGGATGACGTTCAGATGCAGATAACGACATTAAACCAGAGGAAACTCATCCAAAGCACTGTGAAATCCCCCCCTGGAAGGCTGCTGACTCTCCAGCTGCAAGGTTGGAGGACATTTGCTGAGCTCCCTGCTCACAGAACAGCACAACTGCTGCAGGCTCACTGCAAGGTGCCTGTGCAGGGAAGGGTCAGGGGTTGGTTCGTGTCTGAGGCTCCTTCTTGGCTCATGGAGACAAGGGCACAGAGAGACCAAGTGATACTCTGAGTGCTCTTAGTGAAGCCTGGGCTTCTCCCAGAATGGGAACCATTCACTTCACAGAATCGCAGGGTCATTAAAGTTGGGAAAAGCCTCCAAAATTGAGTCCAACTCGTGACCGATCCCCACCTTGTCCCCCAGTCCAGAGCACTGAGTGCCACATTGTCTTTTCTTGAACACCTCCAGGGATGGGGACTCCACCACCTCCCTGGGCAGCCCCTTCCAGTGCTTAAAAATCCTTTCCATGAAGGAATTCTTCCTGATGTCCAACCTGAACCTCCCCTGGTGCAGCTTGAGGCCATTTTGTCTTGTTCTGTCTCCAGTTGCCTGGGAAAAGAGGTTGACCCTCACCTAACCCAAAGATTTTTGAGATACTCTTAAGTACCTTATACATCCAATGACACACAAGCTATAGGAGATCTTCACCTTTCTGCAGAGGAACAGGGAGACCAGGACGTCCTAGGACAACTCAGAGAGCAATAGTTGCACCTGAACGGGCAAGTTTATGGATTCTCAGAAGTCCATCCTCCCACAGAATAAAAGGCAATCCCATTTTCCTTAGCTTAAGTTCAACATAGCCACAATGATTTATGTATACGTGTATATATATATATATATAGGTATGCATATGAAATGGAATCATAGGATCATTAAGGTTAGAAAAGACCTCTAAGATCATCAAGTCCAACCACTAATGTAACACAGTCAGGTCCACCACTAAACCATGTCCCTAAACACCACCTCTATATTTTTGAACACTTCCACAGACAGTGAATCCACCACTTCCCTGGGTAGCCCGTTCCAATGCTTACCCTATATATATATATATATGACCAAATATCTCCAATATTTTCCTCATTGCTCTGTTCTGGTGGGATGATGCATTAGGAAAACTTCTTGGAGAGATTTTTTTTTCCCTGAATAGGCAACTCTGCTGGGTCTCTAAAATTCAGGGAGTGAATGCTGTGCTCAGGAGAGGGCACAAAGCAGGAACAGCAGGCAGTTATTCCACATGGCTGAACCAATGCACAGGGGTCTTGTCCTGCAAGATGTGATATTACAGCAGCTTCTGCCTGTTTTCCCTGGGTGTTGACACAAGAGTGATGAACTAGCAGGGAATTTTGGAAACAGGGAGGTCAGCACTAGGATAGGACTCTGGGGATTTTGAATTTCCGTTCTGGGTCTACAAAGAATTTTGGTGTGGCCTAGGGCAAGGCATGTAATCAGCTGGTTAATGAGTGCAGTGCCCCAGCCTGTTAAACAGGGATGATATTGTATCCTTGCTCCCATCCACGTCCTTCATGTGTGTTCGGACTGCAAGGCTCTAAAAGTGGAGACAGACTTAACAGCTCCATCCATAATCTCCAGTGCAAAAGGGCTCAATGCTCTGTGGAGGCCTGCAGGGATTCCAAAAGAGTAAAAAATGACCATAAACTACCAGGAAACAAACTGTCCTGTTGCTGCACAGCCCCCTGAGACCTGAATTTTAAACTAAACCTTCCCAAACACCCCAGTGACTTAAGAGACTTTCTCCATTAACCTTCCCTGCCTGTTATTTGTCAGGTTAAATTTCTTGGCCTGTGGCCAAATTTGTCATTTCAGCAGAAAAAAAAAAAAAATCCTTTATTCCGTGCAGTTTCAGCTTGTTTGTTTTCTGTCAGAGACTTAATTAATGATGGTGCTAAACCGCTCATTTTGTACAACAAACATACTGTCACACAGGTTTATTCAGTTCCCACTGCACAACAACCATATTATTGGATTTCACCAGGAGCTATTTTTGCATCCCTGTGATCCAGAGTAGGTGGTGCTGCAAGGACGGGGAGGATGCTCGGATGGTTTGGGCATCATGTAGGGCTTGGAAACCTCCTTCACCCTTTGGAAAGAGTTTGTTTCTCCCTCTGATTATACCATGGAGCTTCCCCCTGTGATGTGCGGTGAGACTCCACCGGCATGAAGCCATAAACAGGTTTTGAGATTTGCTTACCAAGAAAAGAGGTGAGGAATCTGAAGTACTTCGGGCACGGCCGTACCACGACTTCCCCCACCTCTGCCTCAGGCCAGCACGTGATGTTGTCCCACTGCCTCCTGCAACCTGGGGAGAAGAGAAAAGCAGGTGGTAGGACACATGTGAGTTGTGTCTGCTGGATGGAGCAGAGGGACTGGAGAAGGTGTGTGGAGCCCATCACCTCAGTGCAGGCACCTTTTGGAATGAAAGGCATTGAAATATTTCATTTAAACATGCAGCTTTCAGCTACCCCAGTTGCTGAAATTCAGAACTGGTGGCGTCTGTAATTTTCCAGAAATCAGCATAGAAAGAACAGCAATTTGGTGTAAGAAGCAGGCAAATCAGAGTTGGTAGAGAACAGATTAAAAAGGCAGAAATGCCTAATCAAGTCTCTCTCTTCCTTGCCTTTATCTCTCCCTGTTGCATTAAAACACCTGATCTGAAATGTGAGACACGATCCCCCTTCCTTCTCTGCTTCCCACAAACTTCTGTCATCAGTTTTTTCTTCCCCTTGCAATGGGATGATTGGGTAGGGGCTGGGAACAGCAGGAAGGGGACATGGATGATAATCAAGGGATCAGAAGCCAAATCCCTTCCCCAGAAGGAGTTTTTCTCCTCAGAAAGGGGGAAGGTACAAAACACAGCTGCAGGCTGAGGAGGGGCAGTGCTGTGGCCAGGAGATGCTCTCTGTGGAAGGGTGGTGCAAGGTGGGAGAAATCCTGACCTATCTAAGCTTGGAATGAAGGGAGAAAACATGGGGTTTTGTAAAAATGAGGCATTTCTGAAGATTTTTCTGGATAGAATAAAAAAACCTCCTGGGAGAAAAACATGGCATGTCCTTTCTACAGAGCCATAATATTGTTCTGATTTCATCCTTTTATTTCTCAAAAGGCATTAGAAATACCCCACACAGGCTGCACTGCTGAATAATGTATCAGTAATACTGAAGCCAAAAGGAGTTGGAAGACTTGAATTAAATAGCAAAAAATAAAAAGAAATCAGATATGCTTTTGCCTTGATATGTTACCTATTTTAGAGTTCCTAGTAGAATTTTGAAAACATTTCTTTTCCCTCCTTTAAATTTCCAACAGGGAGGTGTTTGGGTTGTTTCCAACAGATTGCTGCCTTGGTTGTCAGCAGACCTCCCTTTTTTTCTAGCATCTCTGCTCTCAGTTATTTGTGATGCCCCATTAGATTGCAACACTTCCCCAAATGTGATTAAAATGCTGCTGTTCAGGTCAACAGCCCAACACCAGAACCAGGGAGGTGAGAAGGAAGCGCTGAGAAAACGCCTCTCACGTGCAAGCAAAGGGAGCTGTGAGAACCACTGTCAAACTGCACCTCTGGGTAATTATACCCTGCTCTGAAATTCCTCCTTTAAAACATCATTTACTACTTGAGCTATAAAAAAAGGCTGGTGTCATCGTCAGCCTGTGCACACCGAGGCAATGTGCTGTCTCAGATCAATAAAGAGAGCACACAAAAAACGCTTTGAAGCTGAAAAAGAACCCTCAGCTTATTTCAAAGTGATTTTTTTTTTTTTGCAGGTTTTTTCCTCCCTTCTTTCACGAACAAACGGAACTTTTCAAATGAAGTCCTGAGGTGAGTTTATCAGAGCTTGAAAAACGGAATAAGCGATGGTATCCTTCTCATGCTGTAAGAGTTCATTAGAATTCAGTTTTCAGGTTCCTAATATCAGGTGCAAAGCTCAGTTTTCGCAGCCTCATAGTTATCTGCCACCAAACAGCCAGAAGCTCCACAGGTATTAAGATATTAAAGATTCTTCCCATGGAAAACAGATGATTTCAGGATGGGATATTTCATGCTCTACAATCTTTTCCTCCCTGAACATCAATAAATTATAGTGAGCCCATAACCTCAGGACAGGTTATAATGCAAAATAAAGTACAAGGTGATAGTATCAGATGGCTTTTTAAATATCCTGAATTATAGGGTTGAAGCATTTTTGTGATCTGTATCTCTTTTCTGTGTTGGCATTTTTCACCACCACCTGTGATGCATGAAGAAAGCTTTTAGGTGTTCAATTTTGTAACAAAAGCTTTCTTTGATTAAAAGAAAGTGAAGATATGCAAGACTGGCCTTGCAGGACAAATGAAGTGTATATTTAAAAATTATTTCCTCTGTAAATAGATCTTTACAGAGCCTGTTAGGTCTTACAACACCATTCTTCCTTATTGCTGCTCCAGATGTTGTGAAAGTACTTGTGCAGCTCCCTGGAATGCTCCCGGTTTTAAAGGTGTGATTCATATTCTTAACTTTATGCATCTAAAATCAGGTGTTTAAACCTAAAGAAGCCAACAGAAACCAGAGCTCTGGTTGGACCCTAGGATCACAGAATCCTGGAATGGTTTAGGTTGGAGGGGACCTTAAAGATCATCCCATTCCAGCCCCTGCCATGGGCAGGGACACCTTCCACTAGCCCAGGTGTCTCCAAGCCCCATCCAACCTGGTCTTGGACAGTTCCAGGGATGGGGTAGCCACAGCTTCTCTGGGTAACCTGTGCCAGGGCCTCCCCACCCTCACAGGGAAGAATTTCCTTCTAATATCTAATCCAAATCTCTCCTCTATTAATTTAAAATGATTCACCATTGTCCTATCACTATTTGTTCATGTAAAACTCACTTTTAATCTTTTTTATAAAGTCCCTTTAAGGTCCCCCTATCTCTTATAAGGTCTTTTTTATAAGGACCCTTTACAAGGTCCCAGAAGGCCACAGTGAGGTTTCCCCTGGAGCCTTCTCTTCTCCAGGTGAATCCCCCCCGCTCTCCCAGCCTGGGTCCAGAGTAGAGGGGCTCCAACCCTTGGAGCATTTTTGTGGTTTCCTCTGGACCTGTTCTAACAGTTCTATGTCTACCTTGTGTTGGTTATCTAAAGTTCAGTAATTTTTCAGAGATGTCCTCTTCTCTCCAACGAGTAGAAAAGGGCCTGCATGAATGACTCATGTTTAAAGAATTGGAACAATCAAGGATTGATGCCTGCAAGATGTTTTGCACCTGCTTGCCACTCCAATGTTTGCCACTCACACTGTAATCATTCCAGCACAACATCAGGGTAAACTTTGTGCCCCTCCATCCAACCCAGGACACAGACAACCTTTATCAAAGACCCTTCCAGAAAATACCTTTCATTCTCCCAAACTGACAGACTGGCAAACTGCTGGGAGCTGGGGGTTGGCAGGTAACATTCAGCCATGTCAGGGTGAGAGATGAATACCCAAGAAAATTATTTGAGGACAGAAGGAGCTCCAATATGCCTTGGAAAAGGGAAATCCCTCTCTTCCTGGTGGCACCATTTGGTCTTTATGGATGTAACAAAGATGACAAGTTGTTTGGCCTGATCAAATCATGTTTGGTGATTGATAAATTATAAATGTTGTCTTTTCCCTTGCACTTGGTATCTGTAGGAAGGATGCAAAGGTGTTTATCAATCCTTACCTGATGCAGCAGGTGCAAATGAGCCATGAATTAACCTACCCTTCAACTTCATTTCCATCAAAAGAACTGCTCTGCTCACTTGTTTCTTACCAAAAGCCAAGGAATACCCACTGACAAGGGCCGTGCTTTACTTTGGAAAGGATCACAGGTGAGGCTGGAGAAGCAGCATAAAAATAAGTGTGTGACTTTTCCAAGCACTTACCACATCCCTGGGTATTGGGGTACACTCTTTAAACCCTTGTGATTATATATATATATATAATCAAAGATTGATGCCTGCAAGATGTTTTGCACCTGCAGTCCAATGCTTGCCACTTTATATATATATAAAGAGTCTTTTCCTTTTCAATTATTTAAACTGTGACTTCCAGACCCTCAGCTCTGCCCTGCTCTTCCCTGGTGGATAGTGAAGTGCTCTCTGGAGCCAAATATCTTCTGGAAGGCTGCAGGAAAGAACTCTAATGAAGCTGCTTTTTAAACTTCCTTCAAATAAGCAGATCAAACTGGTCCTCCCTGCTCTGTGAGCCTTGCAATTAGTGTAAGCACCAGTGGCCACCTCTCTCCCTCTCAAAGTGGACTCCTGAAGCCTTGCTCAAGGACTGGGCTGGAGGCCACACACAGGAGCTCAGATCTTTATATCCAGTAGTTCAGCCTTCCTCTTTGCAACCCAAATGCCCCACATGCAAGGCAAAGGCTGTGTCAGCCTCACTGGGCTTTGCAGAGCCCACCTCTAAGAGGTTCTGACCCAGAAGAAGTAGTTGAAGACCACTGACCCAGTCCTGGCTGCAGTGGATTAGAAAACCTCACCACAGCTGCACACAGTGGTCACCTTTTCCACTGTCTCTGCTAAAAGTGAGTCAGAGCTCAGGCCATCATTTCCTCTCCCCTTTTAAGGTTAATAAACAAAAATGAGGTCAATTCTCGTGAGCACAGGCACGCAGTGGTTTGCAGAACTGGCAGACCAGAGCATAAAACCCATTTATTTGAGCCCTATCTCCACTTACAGCAAATACACAGTCAGAGCTTATCTAGGAAGCAGCAGAGAATAACTTTCCTTCATGAATAAACATGACTTCCAGAGCTTTGGCAGGGCTCTGGGATGGGACTGGGTTCGGCTGAGGGAAGAAATAAATGGCAGCAGGTTGGTGCCAGGCACTCTCTGAACCCAGGCGAACTCCCAATTCAGAAAAAAAATCCCTTCCAGCACATCTCTCTTTCTTAGAATTTCAGGATCATTAAGGTTGGAAAAGACCTCCAAGAACATCAACCTTTGAGCCAGTACCACCATGCCCACTGAAAACTCACACCGAGTCCTCCCTAATGAATGGGGTCACTCCTGGTCTCTTCTGAATGACATTCTCACATATTTTGCCCTTTGAACCCGTGCTCAGATGCAAAGATACCCGTTTATTGCCTGGGGTATCTCTGCGTGGCTCTCACTCCCCACGGGAGACACCAGCAAGGCAAAGGCACAGCTTGGTTAAGCCAAGGTGAGATATCAGTGGGTGCCATCACAGACTGGTGTGTTGCACTGGAGACTCATTTTCACTCCAATTTGATATCAATAGGCACTTTCCAAGCTCTCAGGAGGAGTTTGGGCTGTAAATAGCTCTGGGGTGACATTTATTCTCC